TAATGAATAACAACAACACCAAACGATTAACACAATGATGACGCTAAGGCTGACTCTTGATGATGATGATGAAAACGGTGCCTTGAAATGTTTCTTTGTTTTGGCATTTTTCAAATTTGCCAGCTAAAACGTTTTGTGTATGCGTTCGCCGCCCTGCACCAAAAACCGTGTGATCATCATCATATAAATATTACAAATATTTACTGTTTTTTCGCATTTAAACTACCTCTGAATTGTTTTTGTTTGCATCAAGCCATTTTGAATTGAAATAAGATTTTCGTGGAAGAATTAGTAGTGGAAGGCAACATCTCGGAACATAATCTTTCAAATTGGAGGATCTGCGCACAAGACTGACGTGCCTGGAAATCTTTTTTAAGCTCGTCTTGTAATGGAACAAACGTTCTGTTACAAGCCAGCTAAGGCAAGATATTGGAAAAGAATACTAACAAAGCCGAAAATACTGACCCAATGATGTCTAGTTTGGTGACAGACAGATTCAAATTCCAAATGGAAATTCCAAAATCGATTGGATCAACTAATTTTCATTCAATGCAATCTGTCATAACGCTGGATTTGAGGTTTGACAAATTGCCCGATTGCTGAAAGTAAAGTTGCATCTCAGCCGATTCAGGAGGCCGGCCTTACTACGCTCTCAGCTTTTGACCGACTTCGACACTACTTTGCCTACTTTCGGAGTGGAGGATGGTGTCAAGGACTTATCAACCCCTTGGAGGGTTCTGAGTTATTAGGAGTCCCTGTTATTCTCTTCCCATTTGTGCTTTCAGACTACACACAGTCTTCTTCTCCTTTGGAGGGGTAACTGAGACTGCCTTCACACGCAATGTAAGGATTTTTTTTGCGATTAAGAAGTCTCTCGCAGTGTCATTCGCATAGTTCCGAGATTGAGTTAAGTTTGAGGTTTCTCTTAATCAGAAGATAGTGTTCCTGTCTCGCTTGATGAATTGGTTGCAGAAATTAACCGCTCTTTGATAAATCTTGTTGTCAGCGTTGGCCAAGTAAGAAACGGGTCGTTTCGGATCATAGACCCCTTTGTCGTGGAAACTCTGTCGTTTCGTTGTTGTTGTAGCAGCTTGTACTGCAGTGTATTTCTCTTTCTCTGCTTCTAAATCCAGATTGAAAAAGGTTGCAACTTGTACAGGCAGTGTCCACAGTAAAATTGGGGTTAGATGAGTGGGTTTGCTGGGCAGTTGAAAAGGTGTCATATGGACCATTACCACATGCCGGGCAGATATTATTCACCATGCTTAGTTGTGTCAATACCCCTCTGGTTGGTCGAGGTATCTGCTGCTATGGCAGGCGGGTGTTATCCGTGGGTTGTATTCACTCTGTATTCATGAATTGCAGATGTTGATCTAGAGACTCCCTCTGGACATCTCTTTTAAGATCTAGGAGAAGTTTTTTCTTTACATTGCGAGCCGCATATTTTACCACAGTCCGGCCTATCGCTCTATACATGATTAACAAGGCTTCTTTGTCAGCTGCAAGTTAGCCACTTGAGATTCTTGTTCCTGCTTTTAACCCTATCGCATGTGCTTATAAAGTCTATCTAATGTGATCCCTACTTTCTTGGGCTGATGATTCATCCATTATTTCTATAGCAATGCTATCGCCACCAGTCTCAAAGCTTCACTGCCTGCCATGGAGATGGGACCTCCATCCTCGCCTTATTTTGCTTGTTCTCTCATCATAAGGCTCCTCAACTTATTGTGTTAATCACATTATATCTAAAGAGTCTTCCTCGTCAGTCATTGGTGAATCGTCCGAGAGATAAGCCGGAATGCTTTACTGACTAGCTTGGGAATATCAGGTCAGCCGAGGCGTAGTCTCGTACCGTGCTAAAAAATCGGCAGCTAAGCTGGAAGAACTTGTTGGTGGATGCCCAGGTATCGACAAGACACCGATCGAATTCGGAACTACTGCGGTACGACCTGTTCCGAACAGTATTTTGGTAGCGCTTGACCTATCAGAAGCCGTTGATACTCTCAACCATATCATGATGTTTAAGAACACCGAGAACTTCATGGCATGCTTAGGAATCGGCAACATAATCGGAAGAATTTGTTTGTGGGTGCACAGGTATCGACAAGGCTCCGATTGAATTCACAGCTGCCTATTTGTGGCACGACCTATTCCAAACGGTCTTTTGGTAGCGCTTGACCCATCAAAAGCCTTTGATACCCTCAAACATGTCATAATGTTTAAGAACAGGAGGAGAACACATCCATCCGACCAAGTTTAAAGCTTTGGATAATCTATTTTATGTGAGATTACCCGTCGTAGAGACGACTGGAATTGTAGTAACCCCCCTCTGGGACGGTCTGGCTTTTTATACAGATGTTTCAAGTAAGGAAAAAGGTAGTGGGGTTGCCGTCTACTGTGAAAGGCTTGATCTTGAGTACACTTACTGGTAAAATAGTGAATGTAGAGTATTCCAGGCTGAAATCTTCGGGATTTAGAAGGCAGAGTAATGGATAAAAAGTCTTGATGCAGAGATATTTGTAGCGGCGAATATCTTTGTGGATAGCCACACAGCACTTAAAGCCATCAAATCCTTTAGCATCGAATCTGAGGTCGTTCTTGAGTGTAGTACAGATTTGGAAACACTAACAGCTGGGTGCAAGGATCGCAAACTACAAATGTAGCACTCGCTGATTGAATCAACCAACCATTTCCGAAATATTGAGACGTTCTTCGATGAAAGAGCCTATCAAAATTATGGCATAACGAGCCTAGGTGCAAACTCACTGTTGAACCAGAGCAAAGCTGAAATACGAGTAATATTGGGGAGGTCTTTTGGGAGGCCAGACACAAACACTTTCATTTCAGGAAGCTATCAGATCCGCCGTCTACTTATATAACCCAATTCCACATTACTTCTTTAGATAGAATGCCTTCAATGAGGCAGTCAGCAGATATAAGGATAGAGGAAAAACTTGTGTACATTCTATTCCTTAAATAAAAGGTATTTCATCGACTTTTTGGTCTTCTGTATATACGGGAGTAGGAGGCATGTCCTGTCCTTCTATAGATAGATGATGTCAGACCTTCTATATATGGATGCAAAAAATATTGCCTAGATTTAATTTGCCATAAAAAATATCATGTTTTTTCTTGTTTACCCAGTAGTAAGAAAACATTTTTTTCTTTTTCCAAATCACAAAAGAAAGGGGGTGGAGGATGAGGGGAGAGTATATCTATCATCTGATTGATCATCGTGTGAATACTCTTATGTCTGTTTTTGCTTACGTACAATGATACCGCTGTTTGTCTGTCTGACTGCCTGCCCGACGAGTAAACACATATTGTTGTACGATGTTCGATAGTCATTGTAAATCTTGCTATTTTTTGCCTAACCTCACGCTCTTTCCATCAATATCGGCTGATGATTCTTCGTTTATTCTTAACAGCAATTATAATGAGAAGAAATACCACAGCACGATTAGTAGTGTTGAAGATGGAGGAGGGGCGGGCGAGAAGCTGCCGATCATTATTTGTGCGTGAGGGTCAAATGTTTTTATTTTGTTTTCCTTTGTTTCTCATTGAACTGAAATAAAACCAATCAATGCCCTTGTCTACAAAAAATCGTTTTTTTTACATGAAACCAAAATATTTTATTTTTTTTTTTTGTTTAAACAGTCAAGGCAGGCATTTTATCGAGTTCATGGTTATATGGATTACAGTTCTTTGGCCTAAATCCCAAAAAATGTAGGGCCAACAATAATTTGAGAAATTTTGTAAATATTGATACATTTTTAAATTTCGATAAACTCGAAAATACACATTGAAAAATTAAGCATGTGGAAAATTATACTCCGCTCTGTTAAAAAAAAACTCCTGATAATTATTTAAAACATTTTAATGTTTTTTTGATAACGTAGATAATATTTAAAATTTATTGGGATTATACAAATGATATATCTACAAATGACATCAGATAAATTATCTACATTGAAAATTCTCCTATGGATTCATCAGATCAATTTTATAGCTCAATTTTTAATGACACTGGTTATTATACATTATTTGTATAACATACATATTTTATCTAAGCTTTATCTATACATTAAAAAACACAAATAAATTATCTGTGTTACATAAATATCATAGATAAGTTTGAACATTATAACATTATTGTACATTGCCTCTATATGTTATCCAAATTTCATATATAACATTTAAAATACAATAGATACATTATCTGCTATCATCATTCGTGTTATAAACAATTTATCTATGTTATCTTAAACTCACAATATTCTAAATACCTTATTTACAATTTTAGATATTTTTTTTTTCATTTAAAAAACTTGTCATACATAAAAAATGACTAGATAATTTATCTGCTTTATCTTAAGCCTTATTATACAAATGATAACTTATCTGTAATACTACATTGCCATAGATAATTTATCTAGCTTATAAAATTGTAATAAATAAAATATTAATTACAAAAAAAAAATATTTTACATAACTTTTCAGTGTTATAAAATGATTATAAATAATTTATCTGGTTTATCTAGACCTAATATATAACATTTTCATATTATCTATGGCTATTGATGGTTTATTTACTGTATCTAAATCTAATTTTTACATTATAAAATAACTATTGAAAATTTATCTGGTTTATCTAGACATAATATATACATTTTCCATATTATCTACATTCTTTAAAAATGTATTTCTAAATGATAATATATAATTAGATAAATTATAATTTATCTTAAAAAGCTATTGTGAATTTTTTCCACTTTTTTATTAATCTTATGTTTTTTTTCTTCTTATTTTCCAGCTACTTGTGCCAATTACAAAACCAAGAACACCTATCAATCCATCCATTCATCCAGCTTTAACGTAAAGAAGACAATAAATTTGAAACTATCCTACAAACCTCGTACTCCTCCTCATCCCATCTCCATTCGAGAGAAAAGAAAAAAACCAACCTCCCCCGCTCGTCCACCTCCCGCCTCACATTTCCAAGTCTCTAATCTACAACCGTGGCTAATAACAGTAAATCGAATAGACGCAACAAAATGGCCAATACCGGTGATATTTGGTTACAATGGTTCTCCTGCTGTTTTCATCAGCCACAATCACCATCACGACGAAGACATCAACGGCTGCGCATCGATCGTTCAATGATCGGCAATCCAACCAATTTTGTACATACCGGTCACATTGGTTCCGCCGATGTGGAGCTGTCCACAAATCATTTGAATGCAATACAGACACAAATGCAAAGTAAAGGTGGCTATGAAATGAATTCAATACAACTTCAGGTAAGAAAGAGCAATAAAATATTCTGAAATAATGAAATTAATTTGTTTTCTTTTTTTTCAGGCTTGCTGATAGTTTTTTAAGCACATCCATCTAACCAAAACCTCACTTTTCACCTAAAATTCATCTTGTGTATTTGTTTGTTGACCGGGACTCTGTTGACCTAAAGTTTTTTCTTTTTCAAGCCAAGGGCCACGATAGCAACTTTTCGCAACGATGCGCTCTGCAGTGCAATCTCTCGCTTAATATTTTGTATGTATTTTTTAAGAAGCCGCCGCCTTCTCCATCCCCTCTTCTTTTCTTGTCGTAAAAAACAAATCTTTAGGTAATAATTTGTAATTACTTTTTTTAGATGTTGTTTATTTTTTTAGTTTTTTTTTCATTGTGTTTAGCAGAAACAAAAGAAAATAATCACATGCAAAAAAAAGTAAGAAATCAAATTCATCAATTTGGCCTTTATTTAAATTTAAAAACTTTAAACAAAATAACACAACGGAAAATGTTTTAAACATTTTCTCATAGCCTTAGTCATTAATAATTAAATACAATTATATATATAAATATATATTTAAATTAATAATAATAATTATAATTTTATATTAAGTACTGTATGTACTGTACTTAACAAAACAAATGTGGTATACGAAAGTGTTTTTGTTTTTCGTTTTTTTTTTCAAAATTCAATTAAACAATAATGTATGCCAGATGTGGATTTATTTTGAATATTTTTGTTAACAAATCTTAATTGAATCAAACTCTAGAACTAAAAAATAGCCTTAAAGAAGGGCGACATAATGCAGCTTTTAAAGAATATTGAAATCTTTACAGGTGAGCTGACAGGAGACTTTCTAGACGAACTGAATGGTGTTTTTAGAGTCGACCAGGGAGTTTTTAGAGATGAGCTGAAAAGAACCTTTGTATACGTCCTGTAGGGAGTCTTGATCCAGACCAGCTAAAGAGAGTCATTATAGACGAGCTGAATGATCAGAATATAGTTTTTAGGGACGAACAGAATGGATTCTTTACAGACGGGAAGGAGGAGGTCTTTATAGACGAGCTAGAGGGAGTCGTTATAGACGAGCTGAAGGGAGTCTTTACGTACGACTTGAATGGAGTCTTTAGAACAACTGAAGGAATTGTTTATAGAGGAACAAGATTGAGGCTTTATAGACGAGCTGAAGAAAGTCTGTATATACGGCTTGGTGGGGGTCTTTATAGATGACCTGAAAGGAGTCCTTTTAGACGATCAAATGAAATCTTCATATTGAATACTTTATAGACGACCAGATGGGAGTATTTTTAGACTTCCCAAAGGAATCTGCATAGAACCCGAGAAGTGAGCTTTTATAGACCATCTGAAGGAAGCCTTTACAGTGGAGCAGAATGAATAATTTATAGACGAGCTGAAGAGGGAGTCTTTATAGAAGAGCTAATGGGACTTTCCATAGACAGAAGGGAGTCTTTATGGAAGGAATTCTTTGTAGTCTAGTCGTATGCTGCCTTTTATACATATTATTCTTTACAGTCGACCAGAAGGCAATTTTGAAATTATAGACAATCAGAAGATAGGTTCTTTGGGCGAGTGTTCATTTTGCAACAATTTTGAAGTTTCATATGTTTTGAGATTAAAAAAAATCGGTTCATAATCCCCTCTTTTTCTGGGCTCTCCGTGGGAACAGTTATTGTGAAGTTCCATATATTCTGAGATTAAAAGAAAAAGACTTCATATGGCCTTCTTTTCAGGGATCTCCATGTGAACAGTTATTAAATAGAACCTTCGATGCTTAAATGTAAAAATGTTTGGTTCCTTGATTCAATTTTGATTTGTTTATTTAAAATTATTGCAGTGAGTACATCATTCAGTCACTGAGCAAAATTAGAATAACCAATTCTGGGCATACTGGATACGTAAATAAATAAATATATTAAAAAAAAAAATATTTATACCACAATTATAGTCTGATCTTTTCTTATACGATTTTTTTACAAATTTTTGTTACTTAAAAAATATTTATATTTTTTGCATTTACTAAATTGTAACGCGCACAATCATACAAACAAAAAACAAAATATACTACCCCCATTCAATAATTCCTCCCCTCCTCCTCTTCATTATATAGTCTGAAATCAAAAGCACTATATACAAAAAAACATCAACAAACGGAAAAGCAATTGCATAAATTATTATACAAAAAATTATAAAAAATACTAAAAACAAAATCTAGACTTAAGCAAATATTTACTGAATTTTTTGTAAGTCAAATTTTTATTTGTATTGTATTTTACAAAAACAAAAAAAAAAACAAAACTTTTTTTAACCAATTAACAAATATACCAATATTTGTCTATATTACCATTTGTATGAAGCAACGTAGTACTAATTTTATTGTAAGAACAAAAACTTGTTGGCAAAACAAAACGTGTTTTTTCATTTTTTTACCTTTTTCTACGAACGAATGGATTGAGTGTTGTATCAATTTTTGATAATATGATGTAGTACCTAGCAATTTTATAAGAATTAATAAATAAAAAAAGCAAAAATGAATTTATATATAAATTATGTTTTTAATCATTCAAAATTTCCAATGCAATTTCCCCTCCCTCCCGACAAAAAACCCGAATATTTTTTTAAAAGAACGTAGGCATTAATTTTTAATCGACGAAACTCGTTTAAGTTAGAATTGATTAAAGAAATTAAAGAAAAACAATTAAATCTATAAATGTTAGTGTTTAAAAAAATATAAAATCGAAAAATATTGAAAAAAAATCTAAAAAAATAAATAAAAATTAAATAAAGAATAAAAGAGTTTTTATGTTTAAAAAGACTAAACAGTTTTTGCTCAATTTAAAAACGAGCAAGACTCTATAGACGAGCTGAAGGGAGTCTTTATAGACGAGCTGAAGGGAGTCTTTATAGACGAGCTGAAGGGAGTCTTTATAGACGAGCTGAAGGGAGTCTTTATAGACGAGCTGAAGGGAGTCTTTATAGACGAGCTGAAGGGAGTCTTTATAGACGAGCTGAAAGGAGTCTTTATAGACGAGCTGAGGGGAGTCTTTATAGACGAGCTGAAGGGAGTCTTTATAGACGAGCTGAAGGGAGTCTTTATAGACGAGCTGAGGGGAGTCTTTATAGACGAGCTGAAGGGAGTCTTTATAGACGAGCTGAAGGGAGTCTTTATAGACGAGCTGAAGGGAGTCTTTATAGACGAGCTGAAGGGAGTCTTTATAGACGAGCTGAAGGGAGTCTTTATAGACGAGCTGAAGGGAGTCTTTATAGACGAGCTGAAGGGAGTCTTTATAGACGAGGTGAAGGGAGTCTTTATAGACGAGCAGAAGGGAGTCTTTATAGACGAGCTGAAGGTAGTCGTTATAGATGAGCTGAACCGAGAGTTATACTTTTCTAGAGACTATTAGAATTATAAGGAATACATTTTCTTAAGGATTGTTTTAACTATAATCACAGATTTTTAAAAAGAATATTTCTTCAATGACTAGATATTCTGACATTTCAAAACTCTAGTCGTATATTCTTTGAAGATTTTGTTTCAAGGACAGTGAGGGAATATAATCACGAATATTTATAGACTATTTTTTCAAAAATATCCGAGCTTTATTTACTAATTTTTTAAAGAATATCCGAGCTGAAATATATATTGAAGCAATATCGGAGCTATAATTACGGATTTTAAGACGTTTTGAATTGTTAATGTGAAGCAGAACGTGATTTGGAAGAGCCACTTCTTGATTTAGGAGAAACAACATAATTATCTAGCATATATTTGGAGGTTGGTCGATTGAGGCCTGGATTGTTCTTCATAGCCAGCATTTCCTTTCAAACCCCCAAATTTGTTTGATGTTTCTAAAAGAACGTGATTTTGTTCTTGATCTAGCCAATGCTCTTGAAGATGACCTTAAACGGCATCCAAACCGTTGTGATCTTTTTTCCCATTCACTATCAGGTTTTGCCTTATCTGCATCTTCACCTTCGAAGATACCTATAACATCGGCATCGCCGAAAATGTCCTGGGCATCAACTTTCATCGACTTAGCTCCATTATCACTATCATGGCTATTATGCCACCATCTGATAAAATATCCAAAGACACAGCTATATTTTCGGTATTTATATATGTATTTTTGTTTTATTTTCCAATATCTTTCAAAAATGATGTAGTTTTATTATTTTAAAAAAAACCTTAAAACATAATTCTTCTAACAACTTCTAAAAAAAGTTATTCACTTTCACTGCCACTACCGCTACCACTTCCGCTGCCGGAACCACCACTTTTACTGCCAGCATCGCTACCGCTATGATCACTGCCGCTGCCACTACCACGTTCAACATCCGATTCACTATCCGAATCACGTAAAGCCTTAACAACTTTAGTTTTATCGACAACTTTCTTACTGCGACGTCCCTCGAAGTCAGAACCATCATCATCGTCCGATGAATAAATAGCTGAAGCTTTTTGATCGGACGAACCAGCACCTCCGCCGCCGCCACCACCCGACGAGGAAGCGGCATTTGTCTTCTTATTGTATTTATTTTTAATAGCACTCAATGAAATGGCATTCTCATCATCGCTACCCTCGTCATGATGATAGGCACCGTGTGAACCACCACCCATGGCATCTTGCCCCTTCTTCTTTTTCGGTGGTGGTTTGTGTTGGGCACGCATTGCCTGTCGCAATTTCTCCTCCTCTTTCTTGAGATTATACAAACGATCCTGTGTCGGATCCTTACCAACCTGTGTAAGAATCTTAATACCAGAGACTTTTTGTGAACGATCGGCCAACGACATGGTCATCTTCTTGTGAGTAAATGATTCGGTAGAATGTGGTCGGAACGTGAGTTTGGTACGGAAAACAGCTTGACCCTGCAGACCAGTACCTTGGCGGATGAACAAATGATTGTGATCGCCATGCAAGGGTTGACGGTAGACATCGAAGATTTCATTACCCAAATGCAGGGACATGCTGCCGTCGGACCATCGAACAAATCGGGCATTTGATTCCTTGACCATTTCGCCATTATTATTCATATATTCACGCCACCTTATGGTGTTACTAACTTTCAATTTGATACGTTGACGACCTTCCTCATCCATGGTCTCTTCTTCGTCGATTTCATCTTCATAGGTTTCAGGATCGAAGGGCCTTGTCTCTACGGACAAGAAATTGGGCAATTTTACAAAATGTATTTCCCTACCCAAGTCGGTTACAATACGTGGTATTTCAACATCAATGCGTGTCTCTGGTATTGGTTCTGGTTCATCTTCTTTTTGACCAACTCTTTCCGCAGAACGAGATCTGGCCCGGGAACCTGATCTAGATCGAGATCTTGATCTAGAACGGGATTTTGTTCTTGATCTAGCCGAGGCTCTTGAAGATGACCTTGAACGGGATCGAGACCTTTGTGATCCTTTTTCTGATTCACTATCAGATTTTGCCTTATCTGCATCTTCTTCATCTTCAGACATACTTATATCATCGGCATCGCCGAAAATATCCTGGGCATCAACTTTCTTGGACTCGGCTTCATTATCACTATCGTCGGAATCAATAATACGGGATTTTTTATTCTTCGAAGGGGATCCCTTGTCGCTACCCTCTGCCTCAGAACCACTTGAGACAGCTTTACGTTTCTTCTTGGCTTTATCGCCGCCAATATCGCTACCAGATTCCGAACCACTACGGGATCTACGTGATTGTGGCGTACCCGAACGACTGCGAGAACCCGATCGTGATCGAGATTTCGATCTGGATCGTGAACGTGAAGCAGAACGTGATTTGGAGGAGCCACTTCTTGATTTGGGGGAACCAGATTTAGATCTGGATCTGCTGCGTGATTGTCTATCATCTATTTGTAGATTGGGCGACTGAGACCTGGATTCTTCTTCATTGGCAGCATTTGCATCCTTTGCAGGACTACCACCACCACCACCAGACTTCTTTGATGTTTTTGAATGTTGACTACCAGCAGAATTTGAACGTTTGCTATGCGGTGTACCTGAACGAGATCTAGAACGGGAGTGTGATCTGGATTTATTTCCAGGTGAGCCAGTATGGCGGCTGTTTGGTGTGCCGGATCTAGATCGTGAACCAGACCTGGAACGTGATCTAGAAGAACGTCCTGAGGCGGGTGATCCAGATCGTGATCTATCACTACCGCTGCCTCCTGATTTATGTGAAGCTGGTGACCTAGAATGAACCACAAGTCACATTGTAAAAGTGAAATCTCGCAACTATCTAGTGAATGGCTTACCCGGCATTGCTTGCCTTGGCGTTTGGTGTGTTGCTGCGGCTGCTATTGCGACTGCTGCTACTGGAGTCCGAATCAGAGCCAGATCCTACAAAAAAAATATTGTAAATTGTGTTTGGGGGTTTTAACAGCATAAAATATTGCACATACCACTATCGTTTTGACTATTATATCCCATTTTCTATGAAATTTTAATACAACATGCAAGAAAACTCAAAAGATGTGACAACTGGTGCAAAGGCGGTATATTCACTGAATAGAACTTTGTGAACTTTTACAACTGGTAATTGTGCAAAAATGCTTTCACAATGCAAGTTTGGTATTATTTTTTTTTAATCCACATTCAGCACAGCGAAAATTATTAATTTTTTATTTATTATCTTTATATTATATCAATAATTTCGTTTTATTTATCAATTGATCAAGAGCGCTTCGTAAACATATGATTGGGTACGTTCAGTGTATGAGAGATGTACACTTGTTTGTTTTTTCGCCATTTTGGCTTTTTCTGATACTTCATCATAATCAAAAACGTTTCGTGCATAACGAGAAGAAGGTATGATGTAAAATGCCGATAAAAATAAGCATAAAGAGAAACTGTTCGTGAATAATTTGTTTACGAATGTGATGCGAAAGCAAAATGACAATTTTAGGTTTTGTTTACGAATAAGAGAAAACGAACAAACCAACGACGTTAGCTGTTCGCTCTTTTAAGTGAGTTAATGTTCGCAATTAAGCTCTTTTATTAAACTGCCCTATAGTTCATCGCACCCCTAACAGTACGTTTACAATTAACCGGATTTCATTAAGCCAGTGGGTTTCAATTGTCAATTCCTTTGCATATACGTCAAATAAATCCTCATAAAGTAGATTAACCCGGTAAAAAGTTCTAATGTATTGCCAAATAAAAATTTGCCTATGGAAAAGCAGACTTTGCTCTGTTCGTTGAAAACAATGTTGACATTTCCTTTTGAACCTATTCGCTTTACTGACACACAACCGGCTTTTGTTTACAAACCTGTTGCTTTAATTTGTGCAAGTGAAATTTAATTTTAGCAATTTATATAATAAAATATATAAAAAAATAAATAACATATTAAAAAAAATGGTGAATTTAAAGAAGATTTTCGGAGAAAAGGACCAAATTACACTTTGAATCGATGAGGTGAGGTTTGGACTATTAATTACTATTTACGATGGAGTCAATGTTGGGATTTTGTTCCATATATATTTTTTTCATTTTTTTGACATAGCCCATTTAAAGGTATACCTCATTTCGGTTCGGCTGGATATCCCAGCTGGATTTTCTATTTCACTAAGCGTTTGCAATTTGGCATACGTTTTCTTAGATGATGACAAATATTCTTGCAGAAATAATTGTGAAAGTTTATAAAAAGTTCGTATATTTAAAAAAATACCGAATACCTCATACCATAATACTTACTGCACTAACAAACACACTAAACATATCCCACACGATTGCATACATTAGCACATTAACTAACTGAACATACTCGCATGACTTGTGTTTGTTGTCAATCAGTGTCAAACGTACGTTATGGGTTGTCCAATGGGATTTGGTGAATTAAATATTCCGTCGTCCAGAGCATTTTGGGACGATTGTGATGAAGATGAGTGTCCAAAAGTGGAGGCAAAAAAGTAAGTTCTATCAACAGGTTTTGTTTCCAAAGTCACCTTTCTTTATTAAAGCCATTCTTCTTTCAACTTAGATTACAGTTGGCATTTGAGACATGTCCCGAACAGGCTGAATGGAAAACTAAATGTAAGCGAATGCTTGTATTTGAGGGACCATCAGTAAGTAGTTTTGCAGAGGCTACATTGCTTTTAAAGGATAGTCAAAAAATAGCAGCTGTACCTAGTAAAAAATCTTCGTTGCATTATGTGCCAGCAAAGGATATGCTAATTGCCATAATAGATGAGGATTTAACACCAAGCGGAGAAATATGCCAACTTTTATTGGAGCTCTGTAAACCGGAAGAGGTCATCACCGTGACAATAAAAGCTAAAGTTGAGTACAAAACCGAAGATATCGCTGCCATACGTGATGAGATCACATTTATAAGATCGATTGATGGTACACTGAATCATATAGAAGCCTTGGAGGCACCTAATTTTATAGCTGGTGTTGCAGCAGGAAGTAAGTTCAACTGTATACATGTCTTACTATTTTTTTAATAATCGATATTTGCTTTTAGTTTCTTCCTGGCGTTGTAACGAGGGCTTGAAGACCCAGTCATATGTGGTCTACACTGACAATTTGGCATTGGATCCTTTGGCAGCCAAGCCAATATTAGCACTACTCAAAGACTTGAATATAGAATATTCATCATCTTACAAACCCAAGAAACGGGATGATTCCCATTTGTATATGTAATGGATTATATTTGTAAACAAAAAACGTTTTGTTTAGCTTTGTAACTTTTGCGGGTAATAATTAAGGTTTAGGGTAATACGTCGTCGTTTTTTGCATTTTATGTATAAAGTTCAACTTTATGCTGATTTTTATTAAATAAAATAAAAGAAACAAAATTCCATACAAATTTCTTATTTTTCTAAATCGAATATACTTAAATTAAGACCCTTCGATCTTTGCTCCAAATGGGCTTTAGAGATGGCAATAAATTGTGGCCGTTGTAGCAAAGAATAGGCCTGCACCAACAGACTACTAATTAGCATATGCAATTGAGTGTAGCCACTGCAGAACAGATCAATACCCAATTCCAGAGCTGTACCAAAATCACATTCATCTACAGCAATACTGGCTGCGGTGGCAATGGGTTGCAGCTTTTCCATAACTGCAGCTTTTACTTCATCATTTTTGTCATCAGCATTTGAGCCGGCCGAATCAAACAATTTTAAAATCCTCTTTAATTCAGCATCACTTTCAATTAGAGGCCTGTAACCCAATTGAGTTTTCGATTCATAGGGTACCACAATACCGGCACGATGAAAAGTTTTACAGACAACTTTGGAGCTGCGAGCACGACGTATTTTGTCCAAAGGATCCAACTGAACTTCACACGAGCCAATAAATTTCTGTAATGATTTCTTAGTGCTGGCCACAGTGCCGGTTGTGAATGGAGTACCTTGGAAATCCTTGTCCAAATAGTACACAAAGGCATCAAACACATTGGCGGCAATAAATTCAAATTCACAACTCTTCGTGGAGTCATTACGGGCCATTAGCAATGATTCCTTGTCATGGGGATCATCACGCCAATAACCGTAGTGTATGCCGGTACCTTTACGTACAAACACCGTTTGAAATTCCGGTGGATCATAATAGAATCTCCAATGCCGCAAATAATCACCCGGTTCGTGTAATTTTGCTTGATTAAATCTTCCCGCCAAAAATTCAAATGGCCCAACTGCCAATAGCTGAAATTGATTTTCCAAATATTTTAGAATTTCTTCGCCCTTCAGATTAGGTTTTAGTTGTTCTAAAAATTTCCAAAAGGCATAAAAATCTGGCGGCATTTCCACAAGAAATTTATGACGTATAAATTCATGGCTTTTTAACAAATTATCATATTCTTGTTGTTCGGATAGTTTAATACGTTTTTGCAACAATGCCATGTAATCTTTACCACTGATATTGGCCAATGCCTCCTTTCGCAGTTCTTCAATTTCATATTTATCCTTTTCTTCCTGCTGCGGTTTGTTGTCGCTGTTATCCTTGGATTCAGTGTGGTTTGAAGTTTCCATTTCCGATGAACGACGTTTTGTTATTGTTTTCTTCTTGGGTGATTTATCATCGGCTTCTTCCTTGGTAGTATCTGAGGCCTTCTTTTCCGGATGATTGTATTTCTGCAAATGCAATTCATTCCTTTGATAGCATTTGTCCCAATATTTGCAATCCTCTTTAGGCATTTTTTTTTTGCATTTGATGAAATTCGTATTCAACAATTGTGACACAAAGTCTTCTTCTTCCTCCGACATATGTTGCCATATGTCAATTTCACCATAGTTGGGGTGGAATTTAAAGTGACATGAGACACTATGTCTATGTTGCCACTTTCACGGGTATAATGTTATTTCTGGGGTAAAGCCACATATCGCACCATTTTGGAAAGGGCAAATTGTAGTCTATCATTTGAGTCAGGATTGGAGAGGGACCATAGTGGACCCAAATTCGATTTTTAGGGAGTTTTTCAAAAATCGAGACCGAAACCCCAGTTTTGGACTACATCTCCAAAACGGTTTGAGATAACCCCTTCATATTATCACTCAGTGTAAAGGTATTTTTATAAGCTTTAAAATTATAACCTTTTTTATATTAACTGGATCCGTGGAACCGGGTACCCGAACTTCCGGGTCAAGTAACCGGATACGTCGCCCAAGAAAAAAATATTTTTCCGTAATTAGGGTAAAATTTCCTACCTCAGAAAAATCTGATCGTTTTTACTAAACTAGAGTTAGAGTAAGTACCTTTGGGATATTTCATTTGTTCTTAATACACTATACATCATGCCGTACAGCATTTATCATAGTATGTGTAATTTTTTGAAAGTTTATTTATGTATGTGTAACACACACAATGCATGAAGAAAATCAAAATAGTTTTGATTTTGAAAATGAGCCCCTATCAATCTGGTGAATAATATTCATTTTGAAAGTTGTCAGTAAATAATTTTGTGTACAAAAATAATAAAATACCTATGGTATAAATATAAAATGATATGAGAGGTGTCCGTAAAGTGCATTTAAGCCAAAAACTCGAATAATTTCGGATTTTTTGGATTCATCCAAAACAAATTGTGGCTTTTTGATTTCTTATTGACGAAGAGAAGTTTTCCTATGTTTCACGCTTCGAGCTTAATTCTCCAATGTTAAAAAAAATTAAGTTCGGCCGGACAGAACTGTTTTATACCATCCACCGTTATATGGTTCCTATATCTAAACGTGGACCGATATTAATATTTTTAGTGGGAAATTTTACACCCATTGGATTTAAAAATATACAATTATAGACAATTCTGATGAAAAAAGTGTCCGACATTGTCAAAAAGGCGGCATATAGGTGGGTGCCGCTTACTAGGAGCTATATGGACCAATATTGATAATTCTTTTTAGGGAGGCTTTCTGCAAATGTGAATTCGAAATATGAAATTGGAGCCACTTCTGTTGAAAAACGTGCCTAACGCCACGAAAATACCGAAAAATTAAGGTACCGCTCTATGGATGCTACCCCTAAACATGAACCCATATTGATTAATTTTTTGTAGGGAAATTTTTTACCCAATGAGAATCCAAAATATCAAATTAGAGCCAATTCGGTTGTGCAACATGTTGATATTTTTTTGTAATAAGATTTTCTTCCCAAGGAGAACCCAAAATTACAGGAAATTAGGTTAAAAACATGTCAAAAAGGTTGAAATATGCAAACAATACGAATATGCAAACAATACGAATTTGTATTTTGTTATATTGGGGAATTTTATTCTGATGAAGAATATACACCCTTCACCTTATGGTGGACATTCCATAATTTGAAATCACTATTAATTTAATAAGCTATAAGCCCATAGGCGACTCAATTAAATCTCTGGCTTAAAACCGTCTATTAAAAGTATGTATATAGCAATTCAAAATCTAATTTATTAACAATAATTCTCGACAGATGTTGTTCCAAAGTTCCGATAATAAGTTAGGTACTTGAAAGTGTCGAATCCCTACCCTTCGGAGACTAGTGCTAAAGACAAACATTTTTTGGAGGTGACCTTGAAGGAAATTTTATTCTTATTCTTTTAATGAATTCTTATTTTGAGTATTTCTTCTATTAGATATCTTATGGAGGACCAAATGGTTTTCTTATAGAATACCAAAAGGTATTCTTTTAACATTTAAGAAAATGGAATATTATTTGTGGTCGATCAATTCTGGTTCGTATTTCGTTCGTTTAGATTATGGTTTCAACAACGACTAAAGAAGTGAGACAACGAATCCATGCCAGTTAAGCCGAATGGTAGAGTGCAAAGGCGTTCATCGTTTCCTAGAACCAACTATCAAGACATGTCCGTCCGAAAGTCTGCACATTATAATTTGTAATCAAAATAATTTTGCGTGAAAATGAGGTTACGCCCTGGATTGGCATCTATAATTTTTGAGCAATTTATTCCAATAAATGAACTGAAAACATTATCCTTGTTTGCTTTTCTAGCTGATCTACATGCTACAAATATGGTCCTAAAATAATATTTTCCCTTCGGACATGCTTCGAAATTGTTAGTAGTGTGTGGAAGAGGAATTAGAGAATTTTACATAGACATTAGTTATGTGGTCCGACGTAGGTAATTTGATATACTTACCGAAGTTTCAAAACACTGGTCGGGCTCCGTCCGACTGCTTTCCCTATAAAATTTACATTGGAATGGGTCAATAAGTCAGAAGTCCTGTCAGTGTAATATTAAAAATCGGAAACTGATCACAGATTAAAAATAATACAATAATAGTACATTTACATTTAACCGGATTTCGTTAACCCAGTGAGTTTCAATTGTCAATTCCTTTGCATATATGCCAAATAAATCCTCATGAAGTAGGTTAACCCGGTAAAAAGTTCTAATGTACAAGGAGTTTAAAGTTTACTTACTTATATACCCCTCGAGTGGCAATTCGCTGAAGTTCAGAGTCTGAACAATGACCGTAGGATGCAAGGAAATTACAAGTTTTTTCTTCATATTTTCAAATAATCCAAAATGATAGTTTTTTTCAATTTCCACAATTTTGTTCAAACTGACAATAAAATTTTTATATTAAATATTTGCAATAACTATGATTTAATAACTAAATTCCACTACTATCACATAAATAAAACAAGACTGAACACAATTTCCAAAATTTCACAGAAAAATAACGTTATAATTTTCTTTTATTTACATTTCGAAGGGTTGCCAATGAGAAAGCTTTAATGTAACAGAGTTGTATACAAATGTAGTTAACGCTTATCTCAATTGAAACGTATGGCGTATAACAAGAGAGGTATGTAATTTTAAATGACAAGATTTAAATAAATTGCAAAAAAAAATAAATAAATTGAGTAATTTTTCATTATATGTCAAATGAATATAATTGTTAACAATATTTGTCATTAAAATAAATATGATAAATACCTTTAATGTTTAAATTATGGCTGGTAATATAAATTGTTGTTGTTGTTGTTTTTAAATAGAAAATAAAAAATTAGAAATAAAATATCGAAACAATTTCATTTTTTTTTCCTTTGGAATTATAATTTCAAAACTGCAGATAAATCTAACTACGAAATTTTATTTCTTTAATTTTGAATGGAGTATTTTGAAATTTTACAACCTCTTGTTATACGTCATACGTTTCGATTGACGTTATTGTTGAATACATTTTTCTACAACTACGTTGTATTGAAGCTTTAATTTTTGGAGGCAAATTTTACAAAACCTTCAAAATGTAAATAATAAAATAATTTAACGTTATTTTTCATATTTTGTTGTGAAAATTTTAGGAATTACATGTTTCATCTTGCATCATGTGAAATTGTATTTAATCCATCTGCTTGTATTAACACCGCCATATGGATATCAATGGTAAGTACATAAATCATATTATATCGCTTTTCTTAATCTGAAATCTGTTTCCAGAGTTGACTTCACAGATTAAGACTTTATGAAGCCTCCAGGAACTATGGAAGATTTGAATTTTTCCCTCCGCAAAATGTTAAACGAACATCATAAATCTGGTCTTAATATGTTTGTGGAAAGGATTCCAGTTCTCTCGTTCCCTATTCCAAAGTATTTTGTGGTTCTCATTCGTCCCTGATCTCCTCACTTGGTCAAACCAATAGGATAAGTGCACCAATAGTCGTTACTTTAAGGATTTTCGCATTTCAAAAGTATTGTATAATTTGTATTAAGGGCCCCATACACTATACATCATGCCGTACAGCATTTATCATAGTATGTGTTATTTTTTGAAAGTTTATTTATGTATGTGTGACACACACAATGCATGAAGAAAATCAAAATAGTTTTGATTTTGAAAATGAATCCCTATCAATCTGGTGAATAATATTCATTTTGAAAGTTGTCAGTAAATAATTTTGTATACAAAAATAATAGAATTGTGACGGAATAAAAAAACAACTGAATTTACGAATCAAAATGCAACTTTTGGGACAAAAATCAATTTTTTGGAATAGTGATTGAAGAGTTTGCCATACCCTAGTCAATCTCACATATACAAAAAGGGGTTCATCGGCATGGCGGCATGATTTATAGTGTATGGGGCCCTATACACTAGTCAATCTCACATATACAAAAGGGGTTCATTGGCATGACGGCATGATGTATAGTGTATGGGGCCCTTTAGATTTTGAAGTCTGCTACTTTGTAGAATTTCTATAATAGTAGTAGGCATTTTTGTTGTTTTTCTCCAGTACAATATCGATTGTTGGTTGTGGTATGTTTACAATACGTAATTTTTGAAGTAATGAAAGTCTGGTGTTTGAGACAATATCTGGACAATTAAAGGTGATGTGGTCCATAGTTTATATGGCTCCACAGTCACACCTATCTGAGCTGGTAATGTTGATTTTGTGAAGATGATGTCGCATTTGATTATGGCCAAATTGTTATCTTGAAATGGTTATCATTATCGGTGTATTTTTACGTTTTGAAACCAAGGGTGACGGTTGACTCTCGGTGAAAAAGCGAAATATACCCGCTAAAAAATATACTCGTTATCAATTTAAAAATCGTTGTTTGCAAATTGGCGTTACGAAAAATTCAATGGCCAAAGTGGTTGCAAAACTTTTATATTAGAACAAAATACCTAGTAAATATCCTATACTATAATTGTTTATCTTTTATCGGGGTTCAATGAGAATACAGTGACCCTTTAATAGATGTGTATGGTAAATGGCAAAAAACCAATGAAATGGCTAAAACGGCGCGAAATTTGTTTTCTTATTGAAGAATTTTGACATTTGAAATGAAAGTGACAATTTAAATCTACTGGATTTCCTAATTCCTTCCATAAACACGGAACGTGTTTAATGGCAAATCATCATATAGGTTGTCATCTCCTTTTTATATATGTCAAAATCGCAAAAAAAAAAAAATTACGTCGCGCTTTTATAATTTAAAATTAATTAACCATAATTTATTTTGACAGCAAACTTAAAAAACATATACCTTATTTGCTGACCTTGAGTCCACGTCTGCCTCTAGCCCGCACATAAGAGTGCCGACTATTTTCATTTGCTATTTAAAAAGTACGATAAAACCCCTAATTAGTAAAATAAAAGAGAATTTATTATTTGTTGTATATCATTCAATGAATACATTTGTGTTTGTTTGCAAAAGAAAACAGTATTAGAACATTTCTTTTACGACAATTTTAAATTACATTTGAAACTTTGAAATGTTTTTAGTTTGTGTGTGTATGGGGATGTTAATTGTAAAAAACTAAACAGAATAGCTTAACGTTACTACTAGTAGATATAGCTTTTTTGAGGGATGTGGGCAAAAATCATAATATAGCCATCGACTCATCTAATCCTCCACAGTTATTCCCTTTACAGAATGTACACATTCTTCTTTGTTTATCAAATGACATGTCTTGTTAACCAATGACATTAGCTGGCTAACATCCTTTGACCAGGAATTCAAAACATCCGATGGACTCTTTTTAACTGTAAAGTATATAATTTCAGCTGGGCGATCAATTTTAACACGAATGGTATCACTGTTGGCCAATTTAGAGAGATATTCTTCACAACGATTTGTGGGTAAATTCAGCAATTCACTCATACGGGTTAAATGCAAGCGGGAATAGTACATGGCAATAATGCGTATATTCTAAAAGAGAAAATATAGATATTTTGAAATTTCTTATAAATATGTGTTTTTATCAGCTTACATGTTCAATCAAACGATCCTTTAGTTCGGCAATGCATTTTTTACCATGTTTGGTGTTCTCCTGGAACATTTCATTCTCAGCCAAAACAGTGCCGAAATCATTGTTGAATGAATCGAAATTTATCAACTCATTTGACATAAATAAACGCAAAATTTCCCTGAAAAATCAATCAGTTAAAAACTTTTTTACTTTACCCCTATTTCTTATACTTACTTGTAAACGGGAATTTCTTCCAATTTCTTATTCTTTGACAAATGAGCCATCATATCGCTTTGTTCATTGTCATAGGGTGCCAAGATGCAATACAAAACAGCGCAGATTAATTTCTCTTTGAGTTCTTTTTCCTGTTCCGGTGTTAGCTCCACCGGTGGCAATGGCTCCGGTTTCTTTACTTCCTCTTCTTTTTCCTTTTTCTTTTTATCCTCATCGCCCTTCTTTTTGTCTTCATCCATTGGCTCGGGTTTGGGTACAACGGGTTTTGGTGGCTCAGCTATGGCCTGGTAATGTCTTGAAGTTTTCAAATAGGAGGTATCGCGATCCAGACTAATCATTAAATTATAAAATTTCAATTTAAGGTCATGCTGGGCAGGATCATCGAAGAACTTGATACTGATTTTCTTGGCAATGATTTGTGTGGAAACAAAATCTTCTTTGAGTAGACAGAGACGCATTTGTTCCAAAATTAACTCCACCTGGGAAGAAACAAAGAACATATTTTCATTGTCACAATAAACACAAAGTTACTAACTACCATTTTACCTTTTCCCTCTTGTCCATGGAGCCATATGTTTCCACTTGCAATTCTTCCATGACAGATGCAGCACCAGCAATATCACCATCAGCTTCCTTTATGTCGGCCAAAATCTTCGTCAATCTGGCCCTTTCAATTTCAACATAAATTTTACCCTCGGTCACTGACCTCAACGTGTCAATCAATTTCAATTTGGTCTCCTTATCGGGAGTTTTATCAACATATGTACAACATTCCTGAATCATTTTCGAGACAGCCTGTTTCAATTGGGAACGACGACGCACCAACAAACTAACATATTCATTTAGGGCATTCCAATTACCGGCCTCAAAGCATATTTGGCAAATAGCTACCAATACCCGGGAACACGACACCATGTCGGCACCCAAACGTGTTTGTTTTTCCAGAGACAATAGCATCTCGATGGCTTCATGAAATGAGTCGGGATTCTTTTTTGCCAACTCCTTGGCAATGGGAATTTTCTCATCGCAAGCTGGAGCATAGTCGACTTCCATTTTTTGGATGCGACCTCCATCAAATAAGTAATTATCCATGCTGTATCTAGGAGAAATGAGTGGTTGATCAGAAGGAAATGTAAAAAATATGAATGTAGTATTTTTTTAAATAATTATCACATACTTGTTTCAAAAAAACTTTCAACTCAATTTGCAAAACTTTGCGATGCGGTTCTTTCAGCCTTTGGAAAATATTTTTGCTTTAATCATGCCACAGTTGTAAATTTTAGTATTGCAACACTTTGTTGAGGGTTGCCAAGAAAAGGTACTTAATTCATTTTCCACCTTTGGTGATGGCGTATGACAGAATGTCATGCATTTGGCTGTTGCCGTACTGCAAGAATCCAGTAGTTTTCATATCGTAAAGGATAATTTGTTATTGTAGAAAAATGTAGTGGATTTGTGAAATAAGGGAACATGACAATTAAAATTTATTAAAAAAATGTGAACTGCTTTGTTCCCGCATGTTTCAATAATTGAAATAAAAAGGATTTGGTATTGGTATGCATTGAAGTTCAGACATAGGTACAGTATTTTTCGGTTAATTAACCCTACGGTTAATTGGTTTCCACGCTTAATTGGTTCAAAATTCATGTCATCAAAAATAAATTTCCTTTTACTTTTCACCGGTTAATTGCACAATAATAATTGACAAATAATCTGCCATTTTTTACATACATATTTGACATAATTTGTGAAAATACTATGTTTATTGCTAAGGAAAAACTTCGAGAAAGCGTAATTTGTATTTGACGTTGGATTTTTTTTTTAAATCATTAGTAGTTCCAATTATACGTGATTACTGTTCCTCGGTTAATTGGACGAAAATTTGTGCAAATTTTGATGTGCAATTATTATTATTATTACATACCAACAAGGCATGGAGAACGACAATTGTAAATTAACATTACATTATGAAAAGGTATTTTTTTGTTCATGGTACAATTATCAAAGGTAACAGCAAATCCCAGCTGATTTGTTTCCAACGTAATACTAGTGTCAATATGAATTTGACAAATTATGTTTAAAAAAATCACCCTACAGGAAAATTGGGAACGCATACAATTTGAAATTGTTCATTATTAAATGTGCTCCCGTATTCAATTTACTCAATCTGCCTGCTGGGAAAGTTTCAGGAAGAAATTTCTTTCTTCAAGGAATAACTCGCTATTCCCAACATTTTCATATGTGTTACACATATATGTGGCAATGGCTCAATTATAGGAAAGATGTGGAAGCGATAGAAATATAAATTTGAAAGATTTTCATTCATGTTTTTCAATTTTTATTTTGAGGATTCGAAAATATTTCATTTTCAAAATAAAAATTATTTGATGATAATTTATTTGTTTGTTTACATTTTTCTGTCAAATGAGTTGACGCTAGTAGAACTTAAAACAACAAATTTCCATGTGGTTGTTGTATCGTTTTTTGTACAACACTTGCTGTTACCTTCTATTATTATACCATGTTTTTTGTTTTGATATTTAACATAAACAATTTTCCGATGTTTTCGCTTACTGAGTGACTACCTTAAGTGACTACCTTTGCAAAACAAGTTTGCAAATAATATCCATATAGAACTGATAGAACAGAGCTGTCGTCATTTTGGCACAATGTCGTAAATATGAATATGTTAGAGCCTTTTGGAAATGTCGCATTTAATATTTTTAAGACTTTTCGGTCACTTCTTATAATCAAAATTGTAAAAGTTTTAAGATTTTAATAGTGCAAGAATCAGGTTTTGTACAGTTTCTTGTTGTTGTGAAGCAAGCTTATTTTATGTAAGCTAGGCAACTCTGTGTTAACAGTTTTATTTGCATGACATTATGCCAAAGTGACGAAAGCACTGTGTTATCAATTCCACATGGATGGCATTTGCAAATTTTTTTTTGGCACGCACACACAATGAGACAGTGTCTGTGTGTGTCAACAGTACGGTTTTCATGCAGTCTCCATCCCACCTCATTCGTAAATATTTCGTTATCCTACTTTGATTTCTTTTTTATCGCTCATTTTGTCTTTTCCCCATTCAGTTGGTGAAAAACGCGCCAGAAAAGCATTCACTCGGCATCTTTGCAATCTTTGCATAAATAAATTGAATAAATTATTTGTCATTATATTTTATTTTATAATTGTGTCTTTAACATTTTGTTTTATGTCCCTCAGATTGAGAGCATAACAAATTACATTGGAAAATATCGAAATTTCTATTGCCAAGGCAAACAACATTAATTTTTGGCGCGCCAATTCTCATACATCTCACAAGCTGCTGCTGGAAGTTCTCCAAGCTCTCTGAATCGACCAGAAGAATATGGCACACATTCAGGAATATCAGGATTTGGTGCTCGATGCCGTTGAAGTGGTGGAATTTAAATTAAGTGAGTAACATTTTGGAATCGAAATGTTTTAAATATATAATTTTTGATAGTTTGATTTTTTGGTTGGGGTCACTGTGATTAGGCAGGTTCGCAAAGTCCTTTCATTGTGGCACTGTTGCCTTAGGAACTTTCAGCATATTTAGCTTGCTGAAACCTGCTTTTGGAATTCTACCAATTGTCAATTTGGCTTAAATGCACTTTACGGACACCTCTCAGATCATTTTGAAATTTTTATCATAGGTAGCCCTTCTGATGCTGATTACAGCAACATAATTTTTTTCGGGGGGAAATCAGTACTTCCCGAGATATGGGGTTCCAAAGTTCAAAAAATACCCCCACTTGTTATTAAACATATTTAAGAATACCACTCCGAAACGTTTAATTTTTTTACAACACATAGTCCTTTTGGAGCTGATTACAACCACATAATTTTTTTTGGGGGGAACTTCGTACTTCCGGAAATATGGAGTTCCAAAATTTTAAAAATAAGCTTATATTGTTATTTGTTTGATTTCAGGATTTTTTCCTTTAGGGACACTCGGATTTTCCACCCAATTTTCCACCTGTCCATAGGATAAAGTCTTAAATCCCCGGCAGAAGTCCGGCTATTTAAAAAAAATTGAAATTAAAAGAGAATTCTGCTCGCGTAGCCCAATTTTCCACCTGTCCATAGGAGAAAGTCTTAAATCCCCGGCCGAAGGCCGGCTATTTAGAAAAAATTGAAATTAAAATAGAATTCTGCTCGCGTAGCCCAATTTTCCACCTGTCCATAGGAGAAAGTCTCAAATCCCCGGCCGAAGGCCGGCTATTTAGAAAAAATTGAAATTAAAAGAGAATTCTGCTCGCGTAGCCCAATTTTCCACCTGTCCATAGGAGAAAGTCTTAAATCCCCGGCCGAAGGCCGGCTATTTAGAAAAAAATTGAAATTATTCCGGAAGTACGAAGTTCTCAAAAAAAAAAAAAAAAAAAAAATAATTAGGTTGTAATCAGCTCCAAAAGGACTATGTGTTGTAAGAAATTTAAATGTTTCGGAGTGGTATTCTTAAATATATTTAATAAAAAGTGGGGGTATTTTTTGAACTTTGGAACCCCATATCTCGGGAAGTACTGATTTCCCCACGAAAAAATTTATGTTGCTGTAATCAGCATCAGAAGGGCTACCTATGGTAAAAATTTCAAAATTATCTGAGAGGTGTCCGTAAAGTGCATTTGTTCCCGAAAAGCTAAGCTTACGACATTTGTATGTTAAGACGACAGAAAGGAAACATTTTGGACAATCAGAATCGAGGCGTCTAAGAGGATTCCTTTATATATGATTAGAAAGGGAGTTTATAAATATGTATTTCTAAAGGGACAAGTCTTGTTTAGGGACTTCACTCGGATCGCTTTGAGATTACCGTAAGTAGTCCTCGTTGAGCTGATTACAGTGATATATGTTTTATGTGGGGGAAATGCATACTTTCCGAGATATGGGCCTTGAAAGTTCGGAGCATATCTTGGTTAAAGCGGCCGTTTTACTAATGCCACAAAGGCAATATGGGTTCCACAGAGGTAATACGAGTGGAGCCCCTAAACTTGACTTAAGCCTTTCTAAATTTATCGAGGTCATGGAGCGAATTTTTTAAAAATCCTAGAAGAAAGTTTTTTTTTTAATGGATTGAGAGAAGGCTGTCTTCGTGGAGGAGCAGAAGGGATTCTTCCTATATACGAAAGAAAAGAATCTTTTAGAAGAACATATGGAATTCTTTATAAACAAACTGAAGCAGAGAGTATGGACGAGCTAACACCACAAGCTAAACGCCAGGAATCCATAAATTAACTGACCTATAGGAGAGTTTTTATAGACCTGAATCTGAAGGGAGTCTTTATAGACTATACGAATATATTTTTTTACACGAGCTGAAGGGAGACTTTATAGATGACCTGAATTTAGTCTTTATCTAGACTGGAAGTATTCATAGACGAGCTGAAGAGTAATTTCTTATAGACGAGCTCAATCAAGTAGTCATTTTAAACGAGCTGAATCAGGAAATCTTAATTACACAATAAGAAATGAGTTTCCCTTTTTAATTTTGCCCATTTCTTTTTATAGTACGTTCAAAAAATGATTTGGAAAAGGATGATATGGCGTTTCATCCAATGATGGCACATCAAATATTCGGTGAATCTGAAAGTATTTTTGGTTATCGTGGCCTAAAGGTACGAATTTTATATACGGCCGGGCCGTTACATATTTATTTGGGTATAGAATATGAGAAAAAAGTCGATGAGCTATCAAATGGTGAAATCAAAGCCGATGATGTTGTGGCAACAATAGCTGAAAAATTACCGGATGGTTGTTATTTTGTAAATATGGATGAATTCCTAAAGACATTAGATAAGGCTGATAAATTCCAACCGTTTGGTGAAAAACTAACAGAATATAAAACCAAAGATGATGAGAGCGGCGATGAAAGACATTTCGAAATTTATTATTGCAACTACAAGTGTGCATCTTTTTTGAAATTCTTTTCGCGTCTGCAAACATTTGTATTGTGGTTTGTTGATGCCGCCTCTTATATAGATGTTGATGATCCACAATGGTCTTATTTTATATGGTAAGTTATGGAAGATTTTGTGTTGTAATCGATTTTTCAAGATCTTTTCTTTTCCATTTAGTTATGAAAAATATAAAAACGATAATGGTGAAGAACTTTTTGCAACTGTCGGTTATTCCACAATCTATGAGTATTATGCCTATCCTCAACACATTCGGCCACGTATTAGTCAAATGCTAATATTACCACCATTCCAAAAATTGGGTATTGGCACCAAAATGGTCGAGACCATATATAAGTATTATCACACACAAAAGAACGTTATCGATATTACTGTTGAGGATCCTTCCGAAGAATTTCAACGTATGCGTAATTTTGTTGATTGTCGTTTGTGTATGGAACTGAAAACTTTCCAAAAGGAAGAAATTAAAAAAGGTTTCACCAAAGATATGGTTAAAGAGGCCCGTGAAACATATAAGGTAGAATATTAAAAATAATTATTTTTTATTATAAGATAATAAGTTTTGTTTTTATTTCCAGTTAAATCCACGTCAATGTCGCAAAGTGTATGAAATTTTACGTCTATATCATACCAATATCCATGACAAGGAGGATTACACAGCCTATCGTTTGGATGTTAAGAAACGTTTAAATGCTGTCTATCACAAACAGTTGAGTGACATTAAAAAAATGGAAAAGGCAAAATTGGACACAGAATGGCTACGGGCCAGATTACCTACAATTAAACAGCGCATAGAACAGCTACAAGAGGAATATGAACAAGTTGAAAAGGAATATAAACAGATTATACAAAAATTACGTGATGCCTAATTGTAATTTTGTTTTGTGTTTTTATATGTCGCCCATGCTATTATTTTTCGAAATATTTAAATTATATTTTTGTAGAATTTCTTTGTTTTTTCTGCGATTTTTGAATTTAAATTATTCCAAATAAATCTCTCATCTTATTTATTGCCCTTTCCAAGGAAGTGTAATTGAAAGTTTGTATTTTTTTAACAAGCAGAGGGTTTTGGGGTTTTAAAGGAGAGGTTGGGTGGTTAGAACAAAAATCATTGAACTAGAGCGGAATCATTATAGACGAATCACTTGTTGATGATAAGACTAGATTATGAATCTTAGGTGACGCAATTAAAATTAATTATATCCTTAACCTAACCTCAAAATTGTAAATTTTGTCATCAAGACTAGAAATCATTGAACTAGAAATCATTGAACATTTTGTCATCATGAATAGAAGTTATTCAACAACAGCGGAATTAATATTCGTTGTTGTTGTGTGTTAGTGGCTTTTTTGAATTTCTCAATCTAGTATGATGACTAGTTGACATTCTTTTGCATGCTCAGCGTCAGCACAATGTTTGGCTAGTCTTCATACATGAGCTGAAGGTTTCTTTTACTCTAATCTGCTAACATTTCAGTTTTATTTTTCCAAAAAGGAAACACATCTTTGGTTTTGGGTTTTATATATAAAATGATTTATTTATTTCTTAATAAAGGCTGATATTACATACTACATATTAAGGTTATGTTATTAGGATCGTACACGTTCCGATTTCCAAAAATATTTTCAAGTTAAAAAAATATTTGATTGAACTTTTTTTTACAATATACTTTGAAATATTGGATGGAATTAAGAATATGTACGAACAGTTGTGCAAAAATACATGTTATTATATTAAGGGGAGGAGCGCGTCATATGTTTCACTATGGAAGTCTAATAGTAAATTAATTTGTGTATATAAAATTCATCAAACTTCTCGAAAAAATAAGGAAAAAATGCAACAAAAATGTAAATCACATGTGAATAATTAACTTATTTTTCAGTAGCGGCAAGAAATCACAATAAAGAGTATATTTTTTGTATATTAAAAGTCAGCTTCGTAAGGTAAAAGTATCCGAATGCTGTAAGAGATATAAAGCTTTTAAATATTTTAAGATCATTTTTTGATTTTGAAAATTTTACCGCTACCACATTTTTTTTAATAATAATAATTTACTTTTATAAAACGGAACATTTATAATGTACCTGATTTTAAATCGCATTATTCAAGATTTTAAAATTACTGAGCTAAACTTTCAAAACTAAAATTAAAGGTTTTCATCATGATATATGTATGTGTGTATATGAGCAATCGTGGTTTTTCATTTTCAAGTATATGTACGTATATGCCGGTTTGCAATTTCATTTAACATGAACCATATTCTTCCATCCACTTTTCAAAACGATTAACATCATCTATGGATACAGTTTTCTTAGTACGCTGCATGGCATCTTGAAAATCCTGCAGAGTAATGGGCAAATCAACATCTTCACGACGTATCTGGCGTATTTCATCGGGGGTACGACCAAAGATTTGGCGACGCATAGGCATCATGGCAGCATCGCGACAGACATTGCTAATATCAAAGCCCGAATAACCTTTCATTTGATCAGCAATCATATTGGTGTCCAGCGAGGGACTTAAATTAACATCTTTTAGGCATAACTTTAATAATGCCGAACGGGTATCCTCTGGAAAACAAATTAATATATGTATGTACATATTTTAAATATTGTTTTAATTTTTGATTCCAAAAAAACCCTTACCATTTGGCAATGAAATATAAATCCTTTTTTCAAAACGTCTACGGAAAGCCTCATCAATATCCCACGGATGATTTGTGGCTGCCAATACCATTATAATTTTATCCTCTTGCATGGTGACATTTAATCCATCCATTTGTATCAACAATTCGGCCTTGAAACGCCGACTGGCCTCATGTTCCGAATCACTACGTCTGGCCGAACACAGAGCATCAATTTCATCAATAAATATTGTACTGGGAGCATAAAACCTGGCCATTTCAAATAGCAGCCGCACTAGTTTCTCACTTTCTCCCCGATATTTGGAAGTCAACGTGGAGGAGGACACGTTAAAGAATGTCGTTCCACATTCAGTGGCCACAGCCTTTGCCAACATTGTTTTACCCGTACCCGGTGGACCAACCATTAAAACACCACGCCATGGTCGACGTATACCTTTGAAGAAATCCGGCATTATTATGGGTAGCACCACAGCTTCTTGTAATATAGATTTTGCCTCATTTAAACCGGCCACATCTGTCCACTTCACCCCGGGATTCTTTTGCAAAATATCCTTTTCCAGGGTGTCCACCAAATGTGGTTCATAACCAGCCGGTGAAAAGGTTTTTGTCTTTGTGGAAGTTTTCGGTGAATTCTTGGGAGTACTCTGTGATGTGGAATTCTCTTCTAATGAGGTAGCTTCTTGATCATCGGAATTTGAATTCTCATCAATGGAATTCTTTTTCATTTTCTCTTTGGGTTTAATTTGAGAATTGACCATTAGTTTGCGCGCTCGTACCCTTTCCACGGATCGGCTTTTACGATTTGGCATTGTGGCAGTTTTTAGTGAACGTGAATTTCGCTTCTCGGCACGATCTGTTAGACCAGCTGTGGCCACATTGTGAGAGCTACCATGATGGCTGAGATTTATCGATGGCAAAGTTGGTTGTAATTCGGGATCACGGCGCCGCAATGAAGAAATCCATCGATTATCGTTGTGTGTATTGAACGTGGTGGAATTAGCATGTTGCAATGGATTGGGATTGGGTCCAGCCGCATTGGCGGGTGGTAAATTTGTATTCGTTCTCGGTTGTGGTGATACTTCTAGGTGGGTGAGGAAAAGGATCAGAGAATTATTATTTGTAAAATGTAAAATTAAAGAATGCTTTCTCACCTTGTGTGGGTATACGACTTTTAAGACGCATAGTTCCAATACTACTGGTGGATTGTGATGGCACCAATCCACTCATCGATGTTGTCCTTGTAGTTTCGGTCTTTTTACCCGTTTTTGTCGGTCTGTGTGTTGTTGTGATTTTGGTAAAGGCAAATGGTGGATATTGATCCAAGATCAGAGAATCCATCATACGAGCCATATGTGAGAGACCTGTTGGTGGCGCTGATGATGTACTGAAAAGAAAAAAAATTGGAAAAAATTAATGAAATATAAGGAAAAAAATAAGAAAATCTGAAGCGATCATCTTTAGAGGAGATTCTTTATATACGAACGGGAAAGAATCCTAGTAGACGTGCTGAAGTCAGCCTTTATATTTTATAGACGAGCTGAATAGGGATTTTTATAGAATAGCTGAATATATATTCTGGACGAGCGGAAGGAAATATTTATAGATTAACAGAAGGGAGTCATTATAGATGAGCGGAAGGGCACATTTTTAGCGGATGGCAGTACTTATAGACGAGCGGAATTGTTTCTGTCTTTATGGATGAGCGGAGAGGAGTATTTATAGACAATCTGAAGGCAGGCAGTCTTTAAAGACGAACTGAAAGCCATGGTCTTTCAATACATGCGGGCTTTTGTAAATTAGAGAATTTTATATATGTGTGTTAATGGACGCAAGGAGAGTCCATCGTCCTCCTTAAGGCGTAAGGTAAAAAAGCTTTTTAAGGAGCAGCCTAAAAGGAATAGTCATTATAGACGGGTAAAATATTTATGGACCAATTACTTGTTACCTAGGATTTCAGATAATTATATCTATTAATTAATTTTTTATTCTCATTGAACTCTTGCGGATTCTTTATAGACGAATCAATTGTTGGTAGTCTGACTAGAGTGTGAGTCATAGGTGAAGTAATTAAAATTAATTCGATCATTAACCTAACCTCAAAATGTCAAGAATGGAAATCATTGAACCAGAGTGGAATTTGTATAAACGAATCACTGTTGGTGGTTAGTTATGTGTCTCAGGTGACGCAATTAAAATTAATTTTATCCTTAACCTAACCTCAAAATTGTATAATTGATCACCAAGAACAGAAATCATTAAACTAGAGCGGAATCTTTATAGGAGAATCACTTGTTGATCAAAAGACTAAATTGTGAATCTGAGGTGACGCAATAAATAAATTCTCTCCTTAACCTAACCTCAAAATTGCAACAATTCTAACCTCAAAATTAATTAAAATTAATTCTATCCTTAACATAACCTCAAAATTGTACATTTTGTCATCAAGATTAGAAATCATTGAAGTAGAGCGGAATCTTTATGGACGAATCGCATGTTGGTGGTCAGGCTAGAGTATGAGTCTTAGGTGACGTAATTAAAATTAATTCTATCCTTAACCTAACACCAAAATTTTAAATTTTGTCATCAAGAACAGAAGTCATTCAACTACAGCGGAATTAATAATCGTTGTCGCTGTGTCTTTGTGCCTTTTCTTAATTCCTCAATATTGCATGATGACTGGTTGACATTCTTTTGCATGCTCAGCGTCAGGAGGTTTTATTCTACCTAAAATACAATATGACCTAACAAAATGAGTGATAAATTTAAGGACTGCTAAATAAATATTGTAAGTCTTTAAATCTGACTAAATGAGAGAATTAGCCATTTTAGAACTAATCCACATATGCCATGTTATTTTTCAATGTTAGGAAAAATTGATTTCGTAAGCCACTGCTTAAAATTTTGAAACAAACCAGGAAATATTTATTTTTTTATAATATAATATAACTTATCTCATTTTGTTTTTTAGAACATTAGACGAACTTACACACATTCATACATACATTGTAGAATACCAATCATTCTATCAGACAGTAAAAATAAAAACATATGCACAGCTTTTTATGGCAAACACCCTAAGGACTCCGACAGCTACAGTTACAATTTAACTAACAACCCCATTTTATAAGTGGCAATATTATATGGCTTAAAAGGGGTTTGGCGGGGTTCAATCTCCCCATTATTTGTGGTGTAGACAATTACCAACCAACAACAGCAGTAACAGTAAAAAACAAACTTTTCCTAATAGACAAAGTCAAAGCCAACGACATTAAAACACGAAACGGCGACCTTATACTCTTTCCGGATGAAATATGAATAAATATCCTTGCTATTATAAAAATATGTATATTTATACTCTGTGTATGTAGGTAGGTTTCAAAATTGTGTTTAAACTTATTTTTAGTACTCCCTTCCTCCCGTGAGAAAAATAGTGTAATAGTGTTCTTTGCTCTGTGTGTTTGGGGCCAAAAAGTGTTGCATATCGTTAGGCGTTTCATTGTAGTTAATGTGTCTGCGTTTGTTTTTTTTAGTTCAATGAACTTGTCATTAAATGTCGTGGCAGTTTGTTGGTTTTGCTTTGGTTACAATTTGGCGAAAATTGATTATTATATTATTTTATAGAGTATAAAACAATTTTAAGTATGGCATATACTGGAGGGCTAATGGGATTTTAATTCGCTGTGTAATTGATTTAGAAATATTTGTATGTAAAAATATATGTAAATATACAAATGAAGTGTGTCATTGTTTTTTTAGACGAAATGCGGTGAAGGAAGTTTCTGTGTTTTACACACGGGGTGAGGGGAGTCAGACAAGCGGAACGGAATGTTTATTGACGAGTGAAAAATGGGGTATTTTTCGACGAGTGAATATGAGTCTTTATAGACGAACTGAACTGAAAGAAGTATTTACAGGCGACCTGTAAGGAGTGAGATGTAGAATACTGACCGATGTCTCAACAGACGAGCTGTGGTAAATCTTTCTAGACGATCTAAGGGGAGCAAAGACATACAACAAAGACATAAAAGTATAAAGATAGGACAATTGATACGTAAGCAATTTCCAACAGATGGCTTTTCCTCTGTTGTTACGATATCATAACAACAGAAAGAACAATATTAAACGTTTTTAATGCTATATCTTAAGCTTATAAAATGAAAATACATATTTTGAGTGCAGGCCTCTAATTTTATTTACATTTTATTCACACATTTTCGCGTATTGGCGATTTTATTCTTAACATGCCTCTGTTAACCTTGATTCCCCCTGGATATTTTTTCATAAACTATTTTGCCAAAATGCATTTTGTCGAGTCTTTACGGTTTCTATGTCTTTGAATGCATTTTGTCGAGTCTTTACGGTTTGTATGTCTTTGCAACCATAGGTTCTAGAGTCAGCGACAGTCGCTTACCGTGTGATGGCAACGGTGAATTCCAACGGCTGACGTTCACGTCTAGCGGCTTGACGCTATAATAGATTTTATTCATTTTTGCTCAGCGTCATACTCAAATTTTCTCTCTTGCTCTCAATTGATTTGCCATATTTTAGGTACAAATCAGCAGTGCTATCAACATTTCAAGGGGAATTTAGAGAAAAGAAAGGGGATAGAGAGATGAGAAGCGTACAAGGAAGTGTGAGAAGGTAAGTATGGGATAGTATCGATGGCTATAGAGATCGGACAGAAGTATATTACGTGCTAAAGTTGTACTTTCCCAACCACTTTAGGTTTCTAATGATGCTGTAGATTAGAGCGGGTTCCGTTGTTGAGAGGAAACTAAGACTCGGTGGAAAGTGAGCACCCACTAGTCTGTGCCGTCTGGCCAGCGACATAGGAGATACTCAATTGTCTCCTCCTCGTCAACGCAGTGTTGCGCCAAAGTTCATAGGCTCATTCGTCGAAGAACGCCTCAAAGTTCCCATAAAAATGACATATGGATGGTTTGATTGAGCCATCAATTGCTAGATCTGTAGAATGAGATCCTCGTCTGCTCTTTCATAGCTGTAAGTTCTTCCAAAACTGCTCTACACTTGAGAACGGCCTTAGATTTCATATTGTTGTTGTAGCAGTTTATATGAATTGTATATTTTTCTGCTTAAATTTCATCCAGTTCTGTCTAGAGATTTAGAAATGCAGCTACCTCCAATGGCTGTAACCACAGATCTTCCGTAGTAAGGTGAGTAGCTTTCAGCTCAGATTTCATGTAACAGGATTTGATGGCTTTAAGAGCCGCTTGACTATCCACAAAGATAGTCACCGGTTCAACGATCTCCAGACTTTTTATCAATTCCGCTGCCTTCGAAATCGCGAAGATTTCAGCTTGGAAAACAATACAGTTGCTGTCCAGCTTGTAGGTAAACTCAAGGCCTAGTCTTTCACAGTAGACGCCAGCCAATGTACCTTCTTCCATCTGTCTGTATAGAAAGCCAAAACGTCCAGATGAGGGTTACTTTGGTTCCAGTCGTCTCTACTAGGAATAATGACATCTACCTCGTCAAATCTCAGGCCTGGTGATATATAGTCACTTAGTTTTACGCATTGCCCCAATGTCATACCTGGTTCGTTCAAGATACAACCATGCCCAAAGGTACAAGTTCGCCAAAGATTTTGTTCATGCAGCATTAGGGCACTACGTGCGGCCTATCACTTAATGCTGAGGCCCAGGGGCCTTAAATTCTTCATTGCGTTCAGAGTTGTTTGTGGGGAAATATAAGAAAGTGTTTATTGGCGAGTTAAATGGAGTCTCTATAGGCGAACTGAATAGAGCCTCTATGTGATGGGAAGATAAGTTGATGGTAGTCTTATAAAAACAACCTGAAGTGAATCTTTATAGAGGAGTTTACTGAAGTCTATATAGATGAGATTAAGCAGGATTCTTCATAGACAAGTTGAATTGACTCTGTATAGCAAATCTGAAGAGAGTATTATTAGAAAAGATGAAGGTAATCTTGATTAACGAGCTGAAAGGAGTTAATACAGTCATATTTAAGCAGAAGTTTGCGTTTATGGACGATCTGAAAGTAATCTCTATAGACGGCTTTAAAGACCACTCTGTTCCATTTTAAAGTAACATCCTTTCTATGCATGTACACACGTGTCTCTTCAAAACATATTATGACAGACATCAGTGAAAAATTCCAACCTCCCCAACCCTTTGCCTTTCTCCAGAGATAGGAAGGATATCATTTTTTGTTGTTGTTGTTTTTGCTATTATTATTCCACTCTAGTTTCTTTCTCTTTAATGGTCAAGTCATAACATGTACTCGATTGTTAAAGAAAAGTAGGGTAGCTCGTCAGCTTTTTTTTCCATTTTTTTTGTAACTAAGAATAAATTAAAACAAAATAATAACAACAGCAACAACAACAACTAAATAACTATAAAAAAC